CAGTCACATTTGCATGGCATGTTGGTTTAAGACTTTATTATTTGAAAAAAATATTGAATTTAAACGATGCTAAATATAAATTCATTTTAGGTCCAAATCGAGCGGAAAATATTGAGCGCATGTATCTTTACTTAATAAAACAAAATATTTTTTTTGTCGTATGTGCACTTCACTTACGTCTTTGTTGATCTGGGGGTGCGATATCTGTACTCGTATTATGCAAACATACTACTTTGAATATAATGTGATTCTTCACCCGTATATTACAAGGGTCTAACTTAATACAAGTTGGAAAATTTTCTAATTGGTAGATTCTAAATTCTACGCTTTTAAAGTTCTTTATCTTTTTCGAGCGCCTTCTTAACACGAATAGCAATTGAACTCTAATATGTAATTGCATATCTTATGCTGTGTTCAACATAAGAATTCCATATACGGTAGGTATATTACAAAATAAAAAACGTATTTTTTTATTTGTTTGGCTAGTTGGTATTCAACTTAAAAAAAATATTGTTAGATCATGGTCCCTACCGAAAGAATGAGAGCATTTTTTTACACCACAATGACATGCAGGCGTTTCCAATCCCCAGTATTTTTTTTATGAGGGGAAAATCATCAAATGACTTCTCCCACCCAGGGCCGGGCGGGAGGGAGTGTCAGACTCTTACTGACTAAAAACCTCCTGTTCCTTATCCTGCTCTGGGCTGAAGTCGCGGTTCCTCATTGCGCTTACCCCGCAACCCCGGCTCAAAATCCCCAGTATGAGGCCTATTCTCTTTAGGAAGAACCGTTTCTCATCATTGTTTGTAATTTGCAACCTATCCTGGCCTTTTTGGTGACTTTTTTATGGAAAAGAGAGAGCGAGCAGACGCGTTGCCTGATGATAAGCAATCCACAATTTTATTCTTATGGACACCCAACATAGTTAGGTCTGTACCAAATACGTTACAATACGGTAGTGTCCAACTATAGTCAGAATTTTAATTCGATTCCTGATTTGACATGACCCACTGTCATTTTGTGAAATAATGATACCACATTTAACAGTGTAGTGATGAACACAAAAATCGATAAACAATCAGTGAATCAGTTTCAGGAAGGTTTCAAAAAATTACGGCTACCGAATGGTCTAAATGCATACGCATTTAGACCATTCGGTAGCCGTAATTTTTAATAAGCCCATGTTGTTAAAGAAGAGGAATAAATTAGTAAGCTAGAATTATGTTAATTGACAATAAATATCAAAGACACAATTCATAATAAATGTTGCAGAAAGTAACAGCGATAGCGATATCGATGACGGCGACCATTTATAAGATGTCTGTTTTATTTGTCATGTTCCTTCACGATCACATTTTTTATTAATTTCACACACAATTACAAAAGAAAAGTCTCAGATCGTTAATTAGTTGTCAAAACTAAATTATCGGTTCAGAAATATTTTATTTCCTGATAAACTTAGTTTACGAGAATAAATTTATAAACGAGAGGAATCGATTCAGAAATATTCGATTTCCATATCGAATTTTTCGCAACGTCACTATTTAATACGTGTCATAACGTTGCAACACTGAAATTGTCAAATCTGGAATGGAATTAAAATTCCGACTATAGTGAAATTCAATACTTTTATCCAAATGTCAAAAACGATACTTGTCTATGAGTTATGACGTCATAGTTTTTTGTGTCAATTAGTTTACTTTTTTCTTAAAAATTAGCTAAAACTAATCTAAAATTCAGTGTATCGATCGATCGATGAATAAAAGTATTAGTTATTTTTTAATATTGTATTGTATTGAAAAATCGAATTAATTTATTTCTGACCCAATTTGCTTTTGGGGCTGTAGTAGGGGGAAGATTGGGCCTCTTATAGCCACTCGGCGAAAGACAACGAAAGCGTTATTTCACTCCAATTTTAGATGAAACCGTGGTATAACTCCAGTGGAGATAAACCTGGGAATCGTAGTACTATTAGTATAATTATATCTTTGGTATAATTCTATCTGTTGCTACGTCGTTAGAGGAATGCCGTCGTGACGTCACAGCTCTCGTACTATGTCTGGGAATTGAGCCAAAACCTATTTAGGGCTGTCCAAAATTTATTCATGTACTCTTAATAATTACTTAGCTAATTTAGGTGCAGATTGGGTTCAATGAGGCGTCGAAGGGGCTTAAAATAATGTTCGACTAACTATCAACAGTGAAAAATAATATATTGAGGCACTTTATGAAGGTAAACTGACGATATATTAACGATAATTCAAAGTTCCTGGCACAAATACAGGGCGCGTGCGTCACAGTCACCGGCGGCGCGAGCACTCACTCCCGTTTCGCGGCTACGCAAGGGACCCCTTTTCCACTACCCCGAGGTAGTGTAAAAGAGGTCCATTCCACCACAGACAGGGCGATAGATGATTTTTTTTTTATGTTATTGGACGGGAAATGGATTCATTATCGAATGACGATAAGCAATCAGCACCGCCCATGGACAGCCGCAAGAATGGAGGACTTACAGAGTTACAAGTGCGTTGCCGACCTTTTGGAGATAAGGGAAGGTCCTCCTGCAATACCGCGATAGAGTCTCCAGTAACCTTACTCAGGCGGCGAAACATAACACAACAGAAAACCAGCGTGAAACAACCACATGTTTCACGCCGGTCTTCTGTGAAGTCGTGATATCACTCTGATTGACCTGACTCATTTGTCCCGAAACATGTCTCTTCCAAATTGTGATATAATATATGATGTCATTAGACTATTCTTTTTCATAAAAAAAGATTCTATTAAATAGTTTTTTTAACACCATATTTAAATAAAAATCGTAATAAAAAATAATCCCACCATTCGTGCCAGCCCTACGCTACAAATTTGTAAGCTGCGCGGGCGCACAGACATAGAACAAAACGTATTAGTCGTTTAGTTGTTTTACTGACTACTAATTATCCGCTCCCAATGCCAAACACTGAGACAATTCAAATTATTTTGTTTTATTTTATCTTATTTAGACTATTTTGCTTTACATAATGTCTAGACAGAGTCTTTCGAACTAAATTTAGTCAGTCATGTGTACGCATTCCCTAAAACTAAGTTTAGACCGCGGTATTGGAAATAGTTGGAGTCCCGTGCAATGTATTATTGATCGGACTACAAAAATTTAATGTCGTACGAATGTCTTTATAAATGCTATCTTGTGTTACATTGTAGAGATTTGACAATGAAACCTAGCTAGCTTTGTTGCTAGCCTTTTTTTGTGTTAATGTATCTATATATAACAGCTGTTTTCTAAGTACTTATATTATATAACAGTAAGGTATAGTAGATAATGTTGTATTTACCTTTAAGTATTTTGTTACACCTACTTTAAGAACTTTCATGTATTTATTATATTATACTGGTGAAACAAATGTTGGTAAATCTAAATAAATAAAAACCTTTTTTAATTCAAATGGAGACAAAAATGCATACAATACTATAGTCAGAATTTTAATTCGATTCGATAGCGATGACGGCGACACTTTATAAAATTTCTGTTTTATTTGTCATGTTCCTTCGTGATCACATTTTTTATTAATTTTACCTACAATCACAAAAGAAAAGTCTCAGATCGTTAATTAATTGTCAAAACTAAATTATCGGTTCAGAAATTATTTCCTGATAAACTTAGTTATTTATAAACGAGTGGAATCGATTCAGAAATATTCGATTTCCATATCGAATAATTTCGCAACGACACGCGTACGCGTTTTGTACGCGTCATAACGCTGCAACACTGAAATTGTCAAATCTGGAATGGAATTAAAATTCCCAATATATATTGTGAAGTCATGTTGCTTACCTGTAGGTTACCCATCTACATGTTTGCCGTAATGCAGTGTAGCAAGTGTATCTTAAATGAAACTGTCTCATAGGATTTTATAAAGGTTTTTTAAGTACGTTGGTGTATCTAGGTGTAACTTGATCTTGCTGCCTTATATGCCCTGATCCTATAGTAGTTGGCAACTACTATAGTATATAGACTACCTAAGTACCTACATATTATATAGACTAGATCTCTAAGAAGACGTTGCGTTTCGCCGTGTGAGTGAAGTTTCGGGGCCCAATCCTTCCCGTCCCCCAATCCCTAAATCTCCAAATCCCTAAACAGTCAGCAACGCACTCGTAACTCCTCGGTGTCGCTGGTTGCTTACCAAATAGCTTCACTAAGAGGACTGACCGACAGACTGACAAGATATCTTCAAAATTTTGTTTGTTCAAAAGTGCTTGTAATGGTCTAATTGGAATAAATTATTTTTGGCTTTTGACTTTTTACCATCAGATAATCCTTATAGATTATAAAAATACTAATAATTAGCGTACGGCCCGTATCGTTCCGCGCACGACTCAAAATACCAATAGACCACCACAGATGAGGGCCATTAGGACTGATACCCAATTGGGGTTGCGGGTGTAAGGGATTTGTTCTCACATATATGTACTATAATGTATAAATGAATCTGTAAAACAAAATACTAATTGTTTCCTAAATGATGGAGTTTCTTTCTTGTCTAATCCATTCGATCTACAATTGATGATGATGACAATGATGATCGACCATCATACAAGATCGAGAACTACATATGTGGGTAAAACCAAAAATCAAAATATGCCAGAAGTCACTATTTCACACGGAGGGAGGCCGCGACTCCGTCCGCGTGAAATAGTGAAGAACAGAAGCTAATATAATAATAATAATATATTCTTTAATGACACGAAACTGAGGAGTATTTTTTTTGAACGCGGTTATCTCTTTTTTTTTGTGAGGGGAAAGTCATCAAATAACTTCTCCAGCTCAGTGCCGGGTGGAAGGGAGTGTCAGACTCTTACTGACTAAAACCCCCCCTGTTCCTTCTCCTGCTCTGGGCCGAGGTCGCGGTGCCTCATTGCGCTTACCCCGCAACCCCGGCTGAACATCAGCCCTTTAGGGCCCCGTCTGTGGTGGTCTATTGGCTCTTTGAGCTACGCTACGCGCCGTACGCTCGGGCCTGGTTCTGGTCGGGCGGCGAGCTGCCCTTACTCGGCGACCGCAGGCCCGTGCTTACAGTGGCCGCAGATCGTCCCCTGATCAACGCGGTTATCTCTAAAAGTACTGGTTCGAATGGGAGCAATCTTCTTTTTTTGGATAGTTCAATTGATTAGGTTGACAAAGCCTATAAAACATCACAGTACGACCAATCATGTCAAGCAGGATTTAAAACCACGAGGGAACCATGGAGCTATAAATAATAAAAGAAAATTTTGTTAAGGATATTGCATTTAATAGTTGATAGGAACTGGAAAACATTATTTACTAGTAGCTGACCCTAGCAACGACGATAGAAATTGTGACAGCAAGACTTGCTACGCTGTAATATGGGGCATATTTGCGTTGTGGCACAGACGTGAGAATCGGAATGACATGCACAAACATTCTTACGGATTCTTGCGCACGTGTGGTTGTTACTAAAGGCTAGTAAAGGTCTACAGTCAAATCTGTCACATCGCTTTGTAGATGTCATGGCGTCGACCTTTGCAATCGGTTTCGGTACTTCTTTTACCTTTCTCACACTACCTGGCTTTGGACAGCAGATTTCGCTTTGCAGAGGCGACCCGCACCCAGATCTAATCTGTTTAGCAATGACCGAACAAATCGATTTACATTCAGAAAATCTGCTGTTGCTAGAATTATAGCTTTTGGAAAACGGACTCGTTTTTTGCGATGCAGTTGATTGGACGGCAGAGTTTTTCGACAACAAAGATGTGGACGGTGTGGAGAACTGCCCAAGAGTGCCACAATAGACGCACCTTTCATCTTTCAAGTCATAATCTCGTGATTCTAAGTAAGTGTAACAAGTCGGGTTATTCCGCAAATCCGTCGAACATCTCTGGCACATTGTTTCCGATTGCGAATGATAGGATGAACTGGAATTCATACCAGATACCATAGTCGCTTCGCTACATTGCGTAGAGATACTTCTAGCCATGATCATTTGTCTTAGATCGTTAAACAAGCATCCTTTGTATATAATTTCATTATAAGCATCCTTATTTTTGTAATCAGACGGTGTTTGTGGTTTTAAAGTTATATCAGAATAACCGGTGCGGGTTAAAGACTTGACTTTTGAAATTTTGCTCGCATTACAAGAGAAAGAAGTTGGTTTTGCTAAATCTCGGTCTCTTCTAAGACCCGTGCCGAATAGAGAATTGTCTATATTGCCAACACCAGCCCTTGTGCTGCAATTAGGTATGCAGAAAGTGCTCTTATCACACATTTTTTTATCCAAAGGATAATTCCAGGCGGATTGTGCAGATGTAGATGCTGATACGCATTCCTTACATAATGGTGCATCAGTTTCACAGTAAACGTCCTTTAATTCTGCAATAGGAGATGAATAACTCGAAGCAACTGAAGACAATTCACTTATTCTCGCTGAAGTCATTTTCTCGACTTCTGTACCTTTACTTGCCTTGCATGTACAGTCACTCGCTAATTGACTGTCACTGTGTTTTAGAGATGTAGTCGTGCTTTTGGAAGCAGCCGGTGCTCCACGTGGAGAGTGGTTAAAGGAAATCGGTGGATGTGGGTTGAAACCAGTGAGAAAAGTTTTGGTGTGTTTGTAAGAGCTACCACATCCAACAGTGCGACATGCTTTCCTACATGCATCTACATTATCTTTGCCATTCTGGTAAATTGTCGTCACGTACTCTGTTATCACGCAACGAGATCCACAGACAGCATCACTTTGATAATCATCACAGGTGCACTGGGACATACTACCCCAGCTATCGATATCATACGCACTACCAGGGGCACTGTCTGTGATTGTGCAAACTCCACAGTTCTTGCAGGTTCTAACATCAGCACTAGATTTCGCTGCTTTTGAGTTTTCGTCAGCTGCATTGGCATTAAGCATTCCAGCGTCTCGACTGGGATTATAAATTTCCAAAGAGTAATGAATACTTGGAATCGTGTCAATGGATGGTTTTTTATCACCATAGATCTCGTCACAAGGACAAGGTTTACGAGTTATAGGCGGTGCACAAGGATCACATATAGCTGCTGCTGGAGTTGCGCTAGTAGCTGGTGGTGGAATAGATGTATTAGGAGGTGTCGGGGCACTACAAACACCACTATCCATGCATGTTGACTTAGTAGTATTATCACCAGCAAGACGTAAAGCCGACCTCTTAGATTGACACACCCCTCCTTCTTTAAAGGAAAGCTTTGAGCTTAATCTGCGTGCACTACCACCACCAGCACTCATGTCAGCCTTACTTCCTCCTCCGTCTTTAAAGTCCCCACTAGTGCCTTTCTGAGAACCGCCACAAGGACGTTCTGTCATCCCAGATCCACAAACCCCAACTACTCTACATGATCTAATATCATCAGTTGGCGGTCCAACTCCACCATCAAAACCACCTGCACCACCATCATTGTTATCATTTTTACAACAAGGAGTAGCATAACCTTCATCACCCTTTTTATCCTCTGTCATGGGGTTCCGTCGTTCAGTTTTCACTGTAATAATTTGTTTTTCCTCCGTCATAGTACCATCTGGATTCAAAGACGTCGTAATTCTGACAATTTCCTTGTACTCTGTTTCAAAACAACTTAACGTTAATTTCTGTTGTGAACTTTTGAGCAATAGTGAGCGTATGGGTGGTATTTCTGGTGGTGCAGTTCTTGATGATTTTGCTGATGGTGCCAGCTTGCTACATATAGAAGGTATGCAAGAGGGTACAGTGCTAGCAGGGACAGTTGCACAAGGTGGTTCTGGGATTGGTGGCTCCTTCTGACAAATGTCACAGGGAGGTGGAGGATACGATACTTCTTCAATTTTAATTTTCATCGCTTCACAGCTCTTTATAATTGTCTCTTTCCTTAGATCTGGGAATTCTTCTTTTGCATTCAATTGTTCTATTAGTTCTATTAAGTGATTAATGTGTGTCTTGAGATGTTCCAGGCGTTCTTTACAACAAACCGTTTTAGACGGAACTGGTTGAAATGTTTCACCTTCTTCAAGTTCACATGGAGGACATATAACACTAGGTTTTTCTTCAGGTGTCTTATGACAGCTACAAACACTCTTTATAGGGATTACTTCTTTTTCTTTTGGCTTAATGTATTCAGCTTCAGCCGGTGGTATTTCGATTTTCGGTGGAGGTATCTCCACTTTCGGTGGAGGTATCTCCACTTTCGGTGGAGGTATAATCTTTGGCGGTTGTGGTATAACTTTTGGCGGTTCAGGTATACTCTTTGGCGGTTCAGGAATACTCTTTGGTGGTTGGGGTACGGGAAGTACATTAGGTTTAGGCAGAGGCTCCTCTTCTAAAATAGCTTCACCTGGTTTACCTTTATCTACCCTGACATACTTAAGCTGTTTGAATCTTTTCAATCTGAATGTTTCCTCTCGCTCCATCTCGTCCAGTTCAGATGTAATGTAATTCATCGTTATAAGGATCCTTGGGATGATACATCTTGACAGTACGTTTTGTTTCCTGTGAATACAAAACTCTTGTTGATATTCTATTCTATTGTGTTAATCCGTTGAACTCACCCTTTTTGCTTTAAAACATATCATTGTAATTGACTACGTAATATAATAATTATAGAGTTTATAATCGTTTGTTGGCTCAGGCGATATTTGAAGTCATTTCCTAATCAAACCTAAAGATAAATCGTATTTGATAAGGGGATAAACATTTTATTTCATCAAATAAAAGTCAGTTACTTTCCGGTGAAAACCCACTGTTTTTTTTCCAGAGCAGTGCATTGCAGCTTCGTGCTGAGTTATAGCCTGCAGAAAATACAAGCATATGTGCAACGTATGAAGAACACCACAAAAAGACAGTCAACCAGCCCCTTAAAAAACAGAACCCACAATAGCGATAGCCATTTGCTACAGCATCGACGAAATGCAAACTAAATATTTTTTTGGAGTTTGTTTGGTTTTACCAAAGTTTGTGGGTCTGTTGACAGCGAGCAGACAAGGACCAGACCTGAGCGTTCAACGCGCCTCAAAGAGCCAGTAGACCGCCGCAGACGGGGCCAACGACGCCAATGTTCCGCCAAGTTTCAAGGTAAGCGATTAGGAACGAGGGTTTTTAGGAACGAGGGATTTTCTAAGATTTAACAAATCTAACATTTTATAAAAAAACCCTTTGTGTCTGAATTTCTCACCTACATAAACTTAAACTTGCTTTTTACTTTTATCAAATATGATTAGCAGCTGAACATTATTTATTTTTATAAGATAGACAATTAACGAGCAGAGGAATGATCTGATGGCAAGTAATCGGAGAAACCCATGGATTCGTTCGACACAAAGGAGTTACAAGTGTTGCTGGCCTTTTGCCATTTGTTTGGGATTAGGAGATTGAGGATTTGGGGATGGGGTAGGAGAAAACATCCGGTAACCTTATTCGCACTCGGTGTAACACAAAGCAAGCGTTGTTTCACGCTGGTTTGTGAGGTATCACTTCAACGATTGGAGTATCGGCTCGATTGTTTAAACATGTTTGGGATGTTTTTCACATTTCACACATGTCTAAAGAACTTGGTTATCTGTCGCGAACCATAACATCTTTTTATTTACAACAACAACTTGCAATTCATTTTAAGTAGTAGCGTTTTTTGTCTGGAATCTTTGTTTTTTTTTACTGACTTTTTAATGGAATAGGAGGCAAACGAGCTGACGGACCACTAGATCACACCAGAAGAGTCGAGAGGCACATTTCACGACTTTTAAGAAGGAACAGTAAAGTTTTCATGGTCATGTCGGTTGTTTTTTTTTTCATGTTTAGGAAATAATTTTTAATGGATGTAGATAACATTACGTTTAAAGTTTTCATCATGGCAAATTTTTTTGTTCCGTTGTGGTTAACTTGACCGTTGAGTACATATAACATTTATTTTTCTCGTAAAGCTGTGAAACATTTAAATGACTGAGATGAGAACTAAATTATTGGAAGATTTTTGTTTTGAGGTGGAAAATTACGCAATTAATTCTTTGAGATATGCGCGCGGGACCTGCCGCTCCATTCGTTCAAGAAATAAATGTCAGAATAAGATTTAAAATTGTCATTTATTTTGAAATATAAATTGGTCACTACCTTTGTAAATTTTATAATTTGTAATTTCTTACACGATGCATAAATTAGGCCAATGTTTTCATTTCCATGCTTTAGGACAAATTAAAGTATATTTTGATCCAACACTTCATCACATTCTGTTTTATATTTATCGTTCACTTCAAGATTACACGAATTCCTTCTAGAATCTTTTTCGTTCATCTGCACATAGCTACCTGGTTTAACATTAGCATCGGCGCCATTGCTTTCATATCCTTGACTATATTCTTTAACATTACAGTCGAAAGATCCTCCATTACTATTATATGTATCTATATCTTCACCTCGCGTAACTGTAGATACAACTTCACTTTCATTATTTATGTAATGTATGTAACAATCTCCGAAATCAGCATCAAGAGAAATCTCACAGGATAACGATAAACTGGATTGTGCTACGGGATCTAACGCTGGTGAAGGAGCCATAACTTCCAAATTAGTTTTATCATGTTCATCATCGTAGAAATCTATCGAATTTATGTTTCTGAAAATATTATTTTTACTAGTGGGAGGAATTAAGGTAGTTGTACTGGCTTTAGGGTTATAAATTTCCCAGACATTCTTGCAATTTAAGGTCGAAGAGAAAGGTTCTAGTGATCTGTCATCGTTAGGAATCCTAGTATTGCTTCTTACTTTGGTATCATTTTTATTTCTTATAAATTCATCTTCATCATCAGAGTAAGGTTTCACAGATTCAATTGATTGATTAATACCGGCCAAATTTGTCACTCGATTATTAACCAGTCCATTAGTATTTTCATTTATTCTATTTGAAAAAGTATATTCTAAAAGAGATTCTTTAGAGAATTCAGCTGGTTTCACGGGGTCAGGACCAACTACATTAACTTTATATTTACAGAAATCACATATTGGCTGCCCAAGTATTTGAGCTAGCTCTTTGTATTTTCCCTTTAAATTATCAGCAATCTTTAGGAACTGTTTAACATTTGAAGCTTCCATTCCATTTTCTTCGCATAATCTAGCTTTGTTAATAACATCATTTATTTTTAATTTTAGTTCATCTAATTTGTATTTATCATCCACACCAACAATTGACGTCCCAGCTGTATTTAAATCAGCGTGGCATATAATACATTTTTTATAACTGACCACGGTTGGTCGGTTTGGATAAGAAACGAAATCCATATTGCATAACAAAATTATAACGCTGTTACTTCAATATTTCTTTTCCATATTTCATTAATATTCTTTTCCATTGAATAATCTTTATCGTAAACATTATGTAAGTCTTCACATTTTGAAAAATCCTTTGGTATTTCGTACTTTTGCAAAAGATAGTAGTCCCTGTTGAAATTTTGATTCCATTAAGCTAAGTTGTACTCCAAAGTAGGTAGGGAGTGAAGTCGCCGGTAAAAGCTAGTTTTCTATATAAGGACTGCACGTTAATCTGTGAGTAATTGACTTCTTTAGTATAATTTGTTATCTAGCCTTGAACTAGGTTCTTTAAATTTTGCCTTTGTTTTTGTATTGTGTAGTTAAGCCACAGTATTTTTGTGAGGGGAAAACCACCACCGACCTCTCCCCCCAGGGTGGGGCGAGAGAAACTGTTAGACTCTTACTAAACCCCCCCTGTCCCTTCTCCTGCTCTGAGCCGAGGCCGCTCTGCCTAATTGCGCATGCCCCGCAACCCCGACTGACGCCATTGACGATGAACTCTAATGAGTATTTTTCATGTGATTGGTTGGCAAACGACCAGACGGATTACCTGGTTGTAAGTGATCGGCTCTATCTATGGACACCCGTGATATCAGAGGTCGTTGCCGGGCTTTTAATTAGGAAGCGAAGGGGTGAGGTTCAGTATTGGGTCTCCAATAACCTTACTCACACAGTGAAATACTCTGTACGCTCTGTACGCTGTGGTTGTTTCACGCCGGTTTCTGTGAGACCTTGATATCACTCTGTTCGAGCCGACCCATTCGTGCTGAAACTTAGCTCTATCACACTTGTGTTTCTCTATCTCCTTATCCATAAATTTAAATTTAAAGATACTATTATGCAAGGCAAATGTAGTGTAGGTCGCACTTCAGCTGGACGATATCCGTTAGGTGGTTGGCAGCGGTTGGATGAGAAGAGCAGAACATCGAGCTCAGTGGCGTGCAATTCCAGAGGCCTATGTCCAGCAGCAAATGGAAACTTTACTAATTATATTATTTATTATAACAAATCCTTGATGCTACCTACGAATCGTCAAGTAAAAAAACACACATTTAAATGCCAGCAGTCAGGTTGTTTCACACCAGTTTTTTGTAAGGCCGTGATACCACTACGCAATTAATTAGTAATTCGTTAATTTTAACAACAAAAATCTTTTTTATTTTTTATAAATTGTGCTTAGGACTTAGGACTATTGGCGACTCGATAAATCGGCGTTCGGTAAGTCAAATTACTGCATTTATTTTCTATGCATACATACCGTAGCCAACTAGCCGTTTAATCAATCAGCTAGCCTTTTTTTTAATAGAAACTATTGTGAGACATACATAATTTATTAAATATAACGACTTATTCACGTGAATTAGGTGCCTGAGAAAAGCTCTACTAGTTTCAAGTCACGACGGGACTCTTATTCATTAACAGTGTGCGCGACGCGAAGCGACGACTTCGCGTAGCCATCTCAACCAGCTAACACTAGTTTCATCTCAGTATAATCTAAGTATCGACTGAATCGCGATGGCAATTTGATTTCCGTGAAGTTAACAGTTCTATCCTGACCTAACCTTCAAATCTGGTAAGATTTCGGTTTCAATGACAATCCCTTCACCCTTTAACTTACTTGACTAGTCGTTCACGCCGTTTGGCTGGATAGCAAATTCAACTACTTGGCTGCAGCATATGAGAACATCAAAAACATTTTAGTATACTAATAATATAAAGAGGTAAAATTCAAGTATGTATGTAGAATATATATACGAGTATATCTTTGAAACTTATGGTCGGATTTAAAAAATCTTTCACTGATAGCTACATTATTTCTGAGTGCTATTCGCTATGTGCGAAGTGGGTGGTGGGGAACGGCAAATCGATCGTAGCGCACGACGTGGCAGATATGTGAATTAATTCTGGACTGTTATGTGTCAAATTGCTTTATTTGCATAACTTCGTTTATAATTTTAAGTAATAACGTAAAAATTTGCTATATTGGTCATTGTACATGCTGTGTCGTAAATTATTAAAACAATGGGAAAAACAGTTCGTAAGTTCAACATTACAGCAAAGACAAAAATGGATAGCTGCTGTGAAGAGAATTAAAATTCAAATCCCGTACGTATTATAATATCCATATTTTTCACGAGGAAGAAAATCGCTAGGTATAATATACACACTCACTTTGAACAATACCTTAAACAACAATCAATATCTTAAATCATCTAGTTGACATGATTTGACAGATGACAAGTCCTGAATAGTTGCGGCCACTAGGGGCGCTGCCATCGCGCACACAACGAATAGGCGTATATATAATATGAATTGCGTATTTCAGTCGAGCTATCGCTATAGTTTTTAAAATGCCAGGATACACTACTTTTATAAGCGTCAAAGCCACAAGCGAAAGGTGGTGTAACATAAAATTAATGAGTCGGACTTTACTTCTGACTCTGAAGAAATTTCATCAATCTTTTTAGATACAGAAAAAGTTATATAATGGGTGCAACAAAAAAGAAAAATCTGTAGGTACAATTATAATAGCAAAATAAAATCTTTTCTCTGAAGCCCTGACCACTGGTTGCTTGGAACCCTCCCGTTACCAGTGGGACACTGCTTTTTATATTTTTAAGTATTTTTGTATTGAGAATATAGTAAAAAATGTGAAAATCGAGTTTTAAAGTATAAAATTAATTTCATTAATACATTTAAAAAAATGGAATTATCCGTGTTACCAAATAAGTAAGTAGCAATTAATTAAAACCTAATAAATGACCGTGGTCATTTTTACGACTAATAACAAAAAAGAATATGAAATTTTAATGGCGTCCGAATGCATATATTATTTAAAAAGTTATTAATACAGTTTCGTCCAGTCCTTAGATAGAAAAGAAGGGTGAGTTCATCGGCAGTTAGGCCTAAAAAGGCCTTAGGTCTTGAGATTGAAATATAAACTACACTAACTACAAAACAATAACACTACTGGCCATTTTAAAACCACAGACACAAAAAAAAATAAAAAAAGCAATACGTCAACAAAACTTAGTCTATGTTTTTAAAACAAAACTAATTTTAATAAAAAAACTACTCGAGAAAAAATAATAAGACTAAAAATATTTTAATTTGAGTAAAATAATTTAATATTCAAGTTTTAATTTAATTAAATATTAAGATCGCTTCGTTATTATTTATTTAAAGATTTTGAAAGCTTAGTAACTTGTAGTGTCAACCACTACAAGTAGACGGATCGAGAGAATTGATAATAAGACTTTTTTTTTATTAATGATAGATCGGCAAACGAGCAAATGGATTACCTGATGGTAAGCAATCAGCGCCGCCCATGGACACCCGCAACGACGGAGGTTTTACGGATGAGTGCGTTGTCGACTTTTTGGGGATTAGGGATTTGGAGATTTTGGGATGAGGAGGGATTGGGGGTGGGGAAGAATTGGGCCTCCGGTAACCTCACTCACAGCGAAACAACGCTGTGGTTGTTTCACCCCGGTTTTCTATGAGGCCGTGGTATCACTCCGGTCGAGCCGACCCATTCGTGCCGAAGTTTGGCTCTCATTTGATATTTTGCCCGTTTAATTAAATAACCGCTAAAGACCTTGCGATTGCTAGTAGGTAGGTATTTAATAATCAATTATTTTACTCAAACCAAATTATTATATTATCAAACTACGAAACTACAACAGTATTTTCCTTTCCCTTTTCTTAACAATTCTTAAACAACATGATTCAAAACAAAATTATATAAAATGTTAGATTATTTCGATACTTCGATGTACCTACTCGTTTATATGTTGGTTGGGATCAGCGCCATCTATATCTCACCCGAGGAACTATAGACTTGGCTAGACACTGTCATTTGGAACGTCAAATCCCTAAATCCGTCAAGTTCCTGAAGTTTCTGTGTTCCTAATCGTCCAGTCATCTTAGGGCTGATTTTTTAATCGTTAGATAAAAGTTATCTGGGGAATAATTATGCTGCTGTCGCGTCAGAATGTTTATATAAGACAGTGACAGCAACAATTTTATTCCTCAGACAACCATTTATCTGACTATTGAAAAATCAGCCCTTAGTCAAAATATGGTAAGAATCTTAGAATTTAAGATACCGAGCGAATAAACTTTTGTTTTGACAACCTAAGACTTGCCTCAAAACCTACACACAGTAAGGTGTCCGCGTCTGTCAAAAATTAAGGTCAAAGGTCACAAAAAATGTTTTTTTTTTTACTTTTTCAGCAAATACCTTGTTTTCTGTGGGGTTTACGCGATTTCTATTCATTCCCAATAATACTAATTTCTCTACAACAATCAAGTCAGTCAAATCAATGATATTATAAGTAAAATGGTGTAGATAGGTTACCCAAAGGAAATTCGATTTTCAAAAACGACACACTGATTGATACACACATGAACAATTCGTATGATTAGACGTCAAAGTGGGATAGCATGATTCAATAATCGCGAGTGAAAAAGAGACAAATATGAAAAAGTAGCCACATTGTAATGTATCACTTGCTGAGCGCTTGTAACCTATCTACACATTTTTACTTATAATATTATTGCATCAAATAGTTTTGAGATAGGGGGCAGTGAGTGCGCTATGTTTAACTACATATAGACCAAGCAGAAGGACCGATCACAACCCGCCTTATACAGTTTATAACATGTTAAGTTTGTCTGTGTTGACAGAGTTAAAAATTAACATCAAAATATCAGAATTATTTTTGTTTGACGTTCCAAAGTGACTTTGGGGGTTAAGCAGTGAAAGAAAAATGTAGTAAAAATTCAGATTAATATTGTTTTGTTTGAATCATGTTAAATTAAATTTAAAAAAAGATCTAAATAATAACTTTTAACATAAACAATCATCAACAAAGCTAAAGGAAGCACTTACCTGTTTTAAAACTATGGACTCAGTACAGAAAACATGAAGGTCCAATAATACAATTAATATTTACAAATGGACCGACTCGACCGGAGTGATACCACGGCCTCACAGAAAACCGGCGTGACTAACGTGCCAACACTTTAGTTGTGTATCGCCGTGTGAGTGACGTTACCGGATGCCCAATTTTTTCCCCTCCCCCTATCTTCAATCCTCAAATCCCTAATAACCCACAAGAGGTCGGCAACGCACTTTTAACAACTCTTTTGGTACAAAGAGTGTCCATGGGCGGCGCTGATTGCTTACCATCAGGTATTCCGTCATCACTGATTACCACGGTTAAATGTTGCTTTACGCCGGTTCTCTGTTATTGTGTGTTGAATAGCATTGCACTCGGGCAAAGCTGCGGGCGGATCGCATATAAATATAAATATAAAAAAATATTAAGTGAACCATACATATATATAAAAAATATTTTCGGTACTAAATCCATAGTTTTCACCGACGAAAAAGCCACATTCTATATTCAAAATAAATTAAAAATAAAAACTGACTTACATAAATTAACTGAGAAAAGGAACACGCGTCGCCGCGACGCTGTTGCTGCTCGTAAAATAAGAATCCCGTAATGACTTGAAACTAGTCGAGCTTTTCTCATTTAATTCGCGTGAGTAAGTCGTCATTTCCAATAAAAATCCACAATCTACACTAAGAGTTGACTTTCCAATGGTTAGATAAAAGTTATCTGTGGAATAATTATGATGCTGTCGCGTCAGAATGTTTGTATAAGACAGTGACAGCAACAATTTAACTCCACAGATAACATTTATCTGACTATTGAAAAATCAGCTCTAAATAAAATATGAAATTCAAAACACTCACTTGTTAGCGTTTCTATGAGCTTGATCGATCAAATCAAATGTTATTCTACTTTGAACAATTAAAATCATCAATTTGACTAATTCCTCCCAGTACAGCTTAACATTTGCTATGCACATCCCTCCTTTGTTTATTCCAAGATACGGGTAGGGATCCATACCGCTCTGAAAATTATACGAAATATAGTCACATTACACGTCAAAAAGCTAAATCTACTGCTGAGCAATGGCCTCTTCTCAAACCGAGAAGGTTAATCGCCACCTTACTCAAGGCGGATTGGCGATTTCAAACTTACAATAATTTGAAATTATAATTCTAAGTTTCCAAACAATGTTTTCCTTCACTGTAGGTCGGTGGTTTCTAAGTAGACTTAGAAAGTACATCATCATCAACAGCCTATAAGTGCCCACTGCTGAGCAACGGCCTCTTCTCACACGGAGAAGGTATGCTCGTTAATCGCCACCTTACTCAAGGCGGATTGGCGAATTCAAACTTACAATTTGAAATTATAAGTCTAAGTTTCCTCACGATGTTTTCTTTCGCTGTATGTCAGTGGTGTCTAAATAATATTAGAAAGTACATATAAATCGGAAAGAGTCACATTGGTATTAGACAGGTTTTGAACCCGTCTCCTCATACTTGAGAGGTACCTTAACCTCGGGGCCACCACGACAACAGACTCTTAAGAAGTCGCCTTTCATAAATTCCAATGTATGATATTACTAACTTATGTATAAATGCGAAAATATGTCAGTATGGATGAATGGATGGATGGATGTATGGATGAATGGATATAATAATATGTATGTTTGTTTGTCGCTCTTTTACGTAAAAACTACTGGACAGAGCTAAATGAAATTTGACACAGATATATTATTATATTGTAATCTGGAATAATACATTTTATAGCTAATTTATATTTTGGTATTGTAAGCGAATACGCTAGTAGAAACTAGTGCGTAATAAATAAGTTTTTATTTTTTTATGTAATAGATCGGCAAACGAGCAGACGGATTACCTGATGGTAAGCAATCAGCGCCACCCATGGACACCCGCGACGGAGGAGTTAGGAGTGCGTTACCGACCTCTTAGGGATTAGGGTGTGGTTACCGGTGGCCCAATCCCTTCCCCTCCCCCATCCCCTCCCAATCCTTAAATATTCAAAACTCTAATCCGTAAAAGGCCGGCAACGCACTCGTAACTCCTTTGGTATTGCCATTACATCGGCGGCGCTGATTGCTTACCATCAGGTAAGCCGTATGCTCGTTAGCTGACAAAAAAAAACGTAGATTATTGTGACAACACTCTGTCGACCCATCCTTTTTTTATTAGTAGTTGCATTGGCCACATAGAATTTGCTATCCGGATGATAAAACAATTGTTATCAAACAATTTCAAACGTAAAAAATTGAAAAACATAAAAAAATGCTTTCGCCCCCGGGTGGGCTCGAACCACCAACCTTTCGGTTAACAGCCGAACGCGCTAGCCATTGCGCCACGGAGGCTGATATATAGTATATCAATTCAGTTATTGTTCTCCAAGAATCTGAGTAACCTATTTTTTAGGAGAATATTCAGAATATATTTTATCAATCAAACCCGAAAAGTGCTAGAGTGGCGACCAAGGACCGGAAAACGTAGTGTTGGCAGACTTCCCGCTAGGTGGACCGACGACATCGTCAGAGTCGCGGGGAGCCAATGGATGCAGGTGGCGAGTTGTCGTTCGACGTGGAGAGCTAAGGGGGAGGCCTTTGTCCAGCAGTGGACGTCTTTTGGCTGATGATGATAATGATGACTATGATTTTATCAATACGTAGTATAAAACAAAGTCGCTTTCTCTGTCCCTACATACATCCCTATGAAGGCTAAAATCGCGCTTGAACGCAACGGATTTTAATGCGGTTTTTTAATACTTAGGCATGATGATGATGATGGTAGTGATGATGTTGATGATGATGATGATGATGATGATGAAAAACTTACATCTTCAGCAAAAAGATTGTTCACTTTGACTCCTGAAACACTTCTCATATGAGACTTGACTGTAATTGTTGCCTGAAACAAATTAAACAGAAAACATTAATTTAATTAAGTGTAGGAGAGCCATGCTTCGCCACGAATGGGTCGGCTCGACCGGAGTGATACCATGGCCTCACAGAAAACTGGCGTGAAGCGACACTTACGTTGTGTTTCGCCGTCTGTGTGAGGGTACAGGACGCCCAATCCCCCCCTATCCCCCTATCCCAAATCCTCAAATCCCTTATAACTTACGTACAAGAGGTCGGCAACGCACTTATAGTAATACCTAACACCTTTTGTATTAGGTACGAGTGTCCATGGGCGGCGCTGATTGCTTACCATCAGGTAATCCGTGGGCACGTTAGTTTGCCTATGACAACAAAATTCTGTTCTGATTCTATTTAACATTGATATTTCTTTGTACACTTAAACTAGTTCAGTATTTTCACTTATGTCAGTATCTCCCGTATGGTCTAGTGGCTAGGATACCTGGCTTTCACCCAGGAGGCTCGGGTTCGATTCCCGGTACGGGAAATTTATTTTTGTTCTTCTGTGTCTTCTGTTTTTTTTTGACATAAAATAAAAGTTTTAATATTTAAAATAAAATATAAACAATAAATTACTCAATATCATATCAAAAAAAAACAAATTTACAAAATAAGTACCACTCAGGCCCCGGCGAGATTCGAACTCGCGATCTCCTGTTTACTAGACAGGCGCTTTAACCAACTAAGCCACGGCGCCGTTGACGCTACATGATAAAATAGTGTAACACAATAACCACATTAATATACCAAAGTATTTTTAAATAATAATATCAATAAATAAGAGGACAATCTATTTTATCGGACAAAAAATAATAATATTCTAATACATAATCTGTCGTGACCATAAGGCAGAAACCAAAATGATGTACCCGCTTTACAATTATCACATTTTTTTATTTATTTATTTTATTTGGATCTCCCACAGAGAATATGTATATTACATACGCAATGTTTAAAAATATACAATTTTAAAACGTGTTCTCCCCATTTATAGGAGACCACATTGTGCATAACATAATATCTAACATTGTAATAATATATCATCATCTGGGGACTGTCCTTGGGTGCACTTTCATAGTGCATACAGGGATAATTGCCGGCTGACGTCCCATTTCACTTCTATTAAAGTTGTTCAAAGGGCCTCTGCGAGTTGGCTTTGGCCCCTCGTGGGCCTTCCAAAAGTGCGGGACCCTGAGGTCCCGTGAGTGGAAAGAAGTTTATAATTATTAAAATTAAAACAGAATAAGATTAAAATCAAATTGAACATTACACAAATAATTATGTGATGACACATTATTGCCAAATCATAGGGCTCTCCCACACTTAAATGATGTTTAAATTAAAATATAATTAATTAACCAACATCTGTGTGGGAGAGCCATGCTTCGACACGAATGGGTCGGCTCGACCGGACTGATACCATGGCCTCACCGAAAACTTCTACTTACTTAAAATTTCTTTATATTTTGTCTGTACAAACGCATAATTTTAAATGTTGATTAGCTCCTATAACCGATGCTTTTAACTAGGTACTCTGTATACATAAGCTGTGAGCCTACTTTATTATAATAAATAATTAAAACCGGCGTGAAACAACTACAGCGTCTTGTTTCGCCGTGTGTGAGAGCGTTCAATCCCCGCACCCCATCCCTCCCTAATCCCTAAATCACTAAAACCTTAATCCCCAAATCTCTTCTCTTTGATACCAAAGGAGTTACGAGTGCGTTGCTGGCCTTTTAACATACCTACTATAATTAATATTCGACACTCATTTACTGTATGGTTGGTGCGGTGGCCGGGCAACTAGCTGCAGTGAAATGTGTCACCGGTTAAATTCCCGCACGAAACAACTCTTTGTATATGTCATCCACAAATTGTTATTCCGTGTCTGGGTGTCATACCTATGTATGTGAAATTGTATGTTTGTAACCGCACCCACAACACAGGAGAAAACACAAGAGTGAGGCAAAAAAATTCTTATGCATCTAAATGTGTGAAAAAAATTGCACCCACATTATTTAACAAACGCCGCCGTGACACAACTGTACAAATACTCATTACGAATTGAAAATTAAATACAATTTGTAAGTTTTGTAAATAGGTAAAAATTGCTGCCATTTTCTCAATAATATTTAATCTGTTATTTAAAAATGAATCACGAAATATGTTTGTAAGCGCATAACTCAAAAACGCCTGGAACAATTTTGCTAATTAAGTTTTGGATTTATTATTCACTTATTGGTTTATATACAATTGTTAAAAATAGCCTATGTGTATGACGACGCGTCGATTATTTAAATTAAATTTTGAAGGAGGTTTTATCACAATTCATCGGACGAGGGTACAATGAATCGTACTCTGGCGGAACGTCAAACAGACAGTTCTGCGTGCGCATTATGGTGGAGAGCGAGCGCTCTGACTGTCATATGAGACGGATCGCCGACGTCCGTTATTTTTGTAATTTATTCGGTCTGATTATAAAATCCTACGCCCTGCGATGGACTGTGAAGACGATGATCGGAATTAATATACAATATTAATTGACAAACACGGAATTCACAAAATACATGGATGACAAGTTTTAAAAGTAGGGTAGGTAGAGAAGGGTGGGTAGTCAAATGACGGGAGCGACGCCGCGGGTAAGAGCTAGTCTATACTAATATTATAAAGAAGTAAAATTTGTAAGTTTGTATGTAGGGGGTAATCTTTGGAACCGCCGCTGGTCGGATTGCCAAAATTCTTTCATTGATAGATAGTTACAATGTTCCTGAGTGCTATAGGCTATAAAACATCACGCTTCGATCAAATGGAGCTGAGCAGAGGGTGAAACAGCGCGAGAAAAGCTAGTATCTAATATTACGCATTTGTTACCGAAAATTATCATTTTCTAAATCATTGTACTTATAATAAAGGAAAAGTAATCAATAACCGTACCTGATTAGTTAAAAAAAAGACATAGGAAATCCATTAATACGAACTACTTACGTATTCAAGAGATATGACATTATAAGTACATAACAAATACATTAAAATTTATCTTATTACCGAAACAATAATTCTCAATTTTTGTTTTTATTAAGAATTGGCGTTATTTCATCACTCTACTAGCTAATCTCGCGCAGTTTCACCCGCTGCTCGACTCCATTTAATAGCGTAGCGTGATGTTTTATAGCCTATAGCAGCACTCAGGAACATTGTAGCTATCTATCAATGAAAGAATTTTGGCAATCCGACCAGCGGTTCCAAAGATTACCCCCCTCCCTACATACAAACTTATACATTTTACAATATTAGTATAGATAGTATAGAAGTATAGATATACATATATCAATGTAACCAAACATATAGGAACCAATATAGATCTTGAGTCTGATATTATATTTAGCAACGAAAAACAAGGCCTCCGTGGCGCAATGGCTAGCGCGTTCGGCTGTTAACCGAAAGGTTGGTGGTTCGAGCCCACCCGGGGGCGATTATACTATATTTTTGCTAATGTAAAATACCATAATTTATAGAGCAGAGAGGTCGTCGAGTCAACATCTCCTGAGGATGCCCTGTGGCGGGGCGAAACACGTGTCAAGTATAGGTTTGATTGCGTGCCATGTTTTTTTGCATGTTACCTTTGCTCCATGTGCATATGCATGATTGCATAGGAGTGGGATTGCATCCTGCAACAAGCCTGGATTTTTGTCGCGGAATAAAAAGTAAATATTTTTCCTAACATTTAACTAAAATACCATATAATGTTTTTGTGATTAGGCATTCAACTTATTTTTTTTTAGCACATTTGGCCACTAACACTCTCGTTACCTGGGCGGGAAAAAAAATTTTGATTTTCTTTTCTCCACAAAAAACTAACTCGGTGCCAGTCATTTGTTTTGTTGGTTTACCACCATAGTGCCGGAAAGGTAGCCCCAAAGAGCCAATGGACCACAACCGATGGGGCCTTATGGTCTGTGAGACGGCGAGTAAGGGTAGCTCGCCGCCCGACAATGAGACCAGAGCAGACGGCGCTTCACTTACCGCGCGCGCCTCAAAGAGCCAATATACCACCACAGACGGGGCCCTATAGGGCTGATGTTCAGCCGGGGTTACGGGGCAAGAGCAATGAGTCACCGCGGCCTCGGCCCAGAGCAGGAGAAGGTACGGCGGGGTTTTTAGTCAGTAAGAGTCTGACACTCCCTCCCGCGCCCAAAAGTTATTCGATGATTGTCCTCTCACAAAAAAGAAGACGGTTGCCTACAGGGCCGATGTTCAGCCGGGGTTGCAGGGCTAGTGCAATAAGGTGCCCACAGCATCGGCCTGAAGTAGGCAAGGAACGGGGGAGGGGCTTCAATCAGTAAGAGTCTGACACTCTATCTCTATTTCCTGAGCGAGAGAAGTAATTTGATGATTTTTCCCTAACAAAAAAAAATGTATAGGTTAGATCACAGATATCGAGCTCTGTGTTAGTCATTTGTTTTGAAGTTACTACCATAGAACCGAAAGGATTACTTATAGAAAGTTTTAAATAATGTCTTTTAAATATTGTATTGGTGAACTTGTAAAATGTACCTACCATATTTTTTAAAAGAGTAACGATGTAGTGTCTCATTCATTTTTCTCCATTCGAAATTACAATTTGGAACGAGCACCTAGCTTCACTGACGAACAGACTGGCATTATGGTTTATTTGGAACTTTGGACAGACGACAATTTAAAAACAGTATTAGCAAAATTAGTCCAGCCGTTATTGAGTTATGCGCTTCACAACAAATTTTAAGATTTATTTTAAATGTATGTATGTAAATAGATTACTTATAAATTTAAGCTAATTAAATCGCTAGCAATAATGGCCTATGTGAACCGTATCAGATTAGCAATTGAAACTACATTCATTTAAAAAAAACGCCATTTTCCACGTTTCCAAAAAGTATACATCACACAGGCCCCGGCGAGATTCGAACTCGCGATCTCCTGTTTACTAGACAGGCGCTTTAACCAACTAAG